GAAATTTTAAAAAGGGTTTTTTAAATATGAAAACGGAGTCGCCACTTGGTATAGATTTGGGGTGTACCAAGTCACCCAAAAAAGTGTTTTTTAAAGACAAAGTAGTAAAACCCTTTTTAAAACGACTCCTAGTCCACGTAAGCCAAAGAAAAAGGTTCGGGGGTCACGTTTGACAAAGGGGAAGGCAAGGATAGAATCCAAGGCACCCCTTTGACCTAGCCAAGACTAGTTGCGCGACTTAACCTTACCTTTCCTATTTTTCTACCCAATGTATGTTCGCACGTTGGATATGACTATATGAATGCAAAACGAAAAGGAAAATGCAATCCTAAATTCTACGATGTCTCTCGTGAGGCTTTTGGTCCCAAACCACATGAATTGTGGCGGCCAACAAAGGAAAACCTCATAGAGGTCGGTTAATGCAAATGAGATTCAAGCGTGCAAGTGTGAAAGTGTATGAAAGATGCAAGAAATGCAAGTGCAAGTGTGCGAAATTGTATAAAGGTGCTTGTGTGAAATTGTAAAACAAATTCAAGTGTTTTCGTGTGCAAGTGTATGAAAAGGTGCATGTGTGGAATTGTATGAAAAATCCAAGTGTTTGTGTGCAAGTGTATGAAATATAGTGATAAGTACATATAGGTGTAATTAAGTGCAATTTTGTGAAGTAGAAATCAAAATGAACAATAAGGAAAGGAAAATGTGAATTGAAAAGAATGAGTAAGTGATAAACGAGAATGAATGAACCTAAGGGAATGCATCAGGTCGGGTATGGGAATGACTCCTAACTTTTCGACTTCGGTTTTCCCTTTGATTAGAAGGTGAAACTAGCGTGCTAAGGCTATCGAATAGCCACACTCGCTCGTCTCCCTTATCGGAAGGGGGCACTCAAGCAAAATGAACCCTATAACTAGCATGAAATGCAAAAATCTAAAGTGAGAGGGAAGGGACTAGAGGAGCATGCTAAATGATAAAAACTAAGAAAAAATGCATGAAAATGTAGTGAGCAAGCAAATGATGTGCTAACGAGGGGAAATCCCTAAGGGTCTAGCGTTGGACTAGCCCATTCTATGAATCCCGACTAGCGTTGGACTAGCGGAAACGTACATTCATCCATTCCATTCATTCATGGTTATGAAAGCAAGTAGACATGCCAAAACGCTCGTAAACACGTAGCACGTAGCACTTAGCATGCTCGACTAGATGCAAGAGCCTACTAAAGCAATTTAACATGTAACAACAAAAGCAAGCAACCAAGGGGAAGGGGAAATGGACCAGATGCTCTACGAGCCCTATCTATTACAAGCCAAGAGGTGTACACATACCCCATAAAAACTTAAATAAAAGCAACCAAGGGGAAGGGGAAATGGACCAAATGCTCTACGAGCCCTATCTATTACAAGCCAAGAGGTGTACACATACCCCATAAAACTTAAATAGAAGTAAAAGCAAGTAAATGCACGCAAAGAGGTAAGGAAAGCGGAGTAGGCATGCGTATTCACATAACACGTAGGAGCACGTAGGGTCAAATGAAGTGCAAATGAAGGATAGAGTGTACCTCCCTTGAAGCGACGCCCTAACGTAGTGAAATTACTAACTTACCCTCCAAAATAATAAAAGGGTCAAGGTACCACTTTATTTAAAAAAAATTAAAAGAAATGTGCAAAACAAAGTTCATTTGATCATAAAGTTCCTAAAGTCATGACTTAAGCGCAATTGAAACAAAGCATGGTAGTTAATTGAAGCAAACAAACAATGAAGTTGCACAAATTAAAATTACCAAGGACCAAATTGATGAAATTATTTAATTGATTGGGTCCTAATGGCTTTAGTTAGAAGCCAAGGGGTTGATCTGCAATTTTCCAGGTTTATTTCTTCATGCAAAGCATGCAATCACGTAGGAAAATTTTCTGCAATGAGATCAATAAGACTGCTGCATTCTTTGCTTCCCTTTCCAATATCGTGATTCAGATTTAGCCAAAACTTTTCTTGATCTAACATTCCAAACTTCAAACCAAACAACAAAGCATAAACTTGGCAGTCAAACAACCCAAAAACATAGGGAAAGATCATGCAAACATTCTGGAAAAATACACAAGAATGATTCGGCACTTTGAAGATTTCTGCATTTGAAGCTTTCTGCAAATTTTCCAGCCATGTCTCCTGCCATTCTTATGTTCATTTTAATGCCATTTTCATCCAGACCAAATTAGTATTTTTATCCTAACATCAAATGCCTTGATTCCAAAACAGCAAAACACAACAATCAACGCCCAAAACCAGCCGAAGGAGAAAAAGAAAAACGGATAAATGGAAGCATACAATGTTCTGAAAAATTTTCTGGTATTGCTTCTATCCATTCTATCATGCAAATAAGTTCATGAAACAGCAAGTTTCTACTCATTCATCCTCAATTAAACACGCAACTTCACTGAAGGGTTGGCACAAAGAAATAGAGTTGACCATTAGGGGGGGAAAAAAACTAACAGCCGTAGAAGGAACGAAAATGCAGCAAAACCTTTTGTAATTCGGCACTTTGCAAGAATCAGTCTCCATGCTCAATCAAAACTAAATACAACTATGCAAACCTCTTACTTTACATCATGAAAACTTTCAGATTTAGACACCAAAAGCCGGGCAACAAGCATGCAAAATCCAAATGATTCAAGCAACTTCAAGCAAAGTTTACAAATTTTCTGCAACATTGAAATCTTATGTAATGCGGTCCTCCTTTCAAAAGGCAACAATTAGCATTCCAAGCAAAACAAAAGACAGACTGGAATCAAAATATCAAACACCAGACTTGCCATTCATTTTCAATACAAAGACTCAAAATAAACATGCAAATCTGGAAGTAAAAAAACGCAACTTCCCACTATATTATCCAAGACATACATAGCCAACAAAATTTGCAGCCAGCGGCAACCTCTTCGAACCCAAAACAAATACGATCTTATGCATCCTATCATCAAAAATCCAGCCATAAATCATGCATCTCCCAGAAATTTCCAACCCAGATTGTGCATAAAAATCACCAAAAGAAAACAGCCATGAACACTAGAAACGAACACAGCTAAACGCAAATCCCTTCTCCTCCAAGAACAAACCAGATTCACGGATAGAAACTCGCATGAAGAATGCAATCCAGTGCAAAGACTAAGACTTTCAGCATACAAACATAACTCAGCAACTTACAAACAAATCCAAAGTAAAAAAAAATGTTACCTTTAAACCTTGACCGAAAGCTTGATGTATTCCAGAAGACGAAATCTTTGCTTCTTCGTCTCTCCCGCAGATGCGCTTCCTGATTTTTTGCCTTGCTTCAACGAATCCAAAACCTTCTTGCTGCCCAAAGTTTCCTGAACCAACACCTCTAAAACTCACTGCTTTTCTCTTAATCCGCCGTAAATCTTCCTCACTCTTTTATCACTCTTTCTCAGTCGCTGTTTTTCTGCTTTCTTCAGCCGCACACTCTCTGTCTTTTCCCTTCTAGCTTTCTCTCTTTGTTTTTCTAAGTTTCGGCTGTCACCTCTCTCTCGTATGTCCTCCACCCAGAATTTTCTCTAGCCTTCAACCTTCTTAAACCCCAGCCGTTAGTCCTTTCCCCCAAAACTCTATCTTTTCGCTGCCTTTCCTTTTTCTTCTTTTGGTTTAGCCAGAAACCCTCGCTCCCCCAAAAAATCCCCTTGCGGCTGCCATCTTCTTTTTTTATATATATTGGAACCTCCAACCCTAAAACACTCAGCACTCTCTTCAAATATTGCAGCCCAAGGGGCTCACCGAGGCCCTCTCTTGCAAGCTGCAAAAACGCAGCTTGCAAGTCGCGTTTCTCTCTTTTTTCTTTTTTCTTTTTTTTTTTTTAACTTTCCACTTAATAAATACAGAAATGATAAAATATAAATAATAATAATAATAACAAAAACAACTTAAATAACACTGGATACAAATAAAAATAAATAAACAAAAATGCAACTTCCTATTTTCCTTTTTCATTTTTCTCATTTTTCACTTTTTCTTTTTCTTTTCTAAATGAACCAAACAAAAACAAAAATAAAAAATAAAAAATAAAAATAAATTAAGTAGAAATGACTAAAATAGATAAATAAAGCCAAATAAAACAAAAACTCTATTTTTCTTTTTTTTCATGATTTTCTCTTAATTCTATGCTAAAATGGCTAAAATAACTAAAACTAAAAGTGAATAAAACTAATTGTGACAAATAAAAATAGAACAAACAAAAAAATGAATAGTAAATAACAAAACACCAAAAATTTGGTGTCTACACTGAGGCTTCCTCTTAATGGAGGAATTTGTGTATATGAACGCTGAGCCTTATGTTCTTCAGAGCACTAAGCGAAACATTGAAAAAAGTAAGTCAATTGACATATCACCCACCAATATCCCCCCCCCCCCTCTGCCCCTTCCCAGCCCCTTCGTACTCCCATTACAGGAACTGTAGTTGTGTAAATATATGAAGTGCACATGTAATTGTCATTAGAAAAAGTGAGTAAATCTTGTATGCACTGCTTTTCAAAAAAAATCTTATATGTATTGATAGTGCATATACTATCATGGTTAGATACTTGATACATATTTAAAATTTGAATTTAAAATTTAAATTTACATTAATTTTTTTTATTCATAGTATGTACATCGTTAGCGTATAAAAAATTAATTTAAAAGAACAAAAAGGTAAAGAAAGAAAAGACTTCACTATATTGTTATATCATGATCATGGAATATACACCAATGCTAAGAGTACTTTTAAGGATTTCTTATTGATAATTGATTAATTAATGCAACAAATGTGCAATGCTGATTATTAATGTAATTTAGAAGATCCAGCAATCAATCCCTCCTTCCTGAGCTGATCCCCTCCTGCCTTCCTCCCTCCTTCCTCCCTTCTTCCTCAATTCGTATTGCCAACCCACAGCCTTTAAACCTTACATTACATTCACAAATAACCGAACCTCAGACCTCAATCCAAAGCCCCCAGAGAAGCTATGGACTCAAGTTCAACTCTAGCATCATCATCCTTCCTCCTGATCAAGTCAACTTCAATCCCATCTTTCCCAATATTGAAGAAGCAAATTCATTTTCATTCTTATAAGCCCCTTCACAGCAAGAAGTTGATAATCATCAATGCCTCTTCTGCTTCTTCTAACTCCTCCTCCACTTCAAACCCCTTCCTTTCCACCCTCAAGACCACCACCACTGCTGCTGTCATTTTTGCGGTGGCCGTGTTTGGGTCCTTTGGGAAGTTCAATAAACCAGCTAGAGCAATTTTTCCATTTCCACCAACTCCAACATCACAGCAAAACATTTCTGATGCCATCGGAGTCTTCAAAGAAGTTCTTCAACCCTTAAAGAAATCCAACTCTGAGGCCACTGGGGCTGTGTTGGAATCAGAGTTGCATCAGAAACTGAATCCTGAGGCCATTGAGGCCTTGAAAACTTTGCTTCAGAAGAAACTGAAGGCTAGCAAGAAGAAAGAATGCTTGGATATATTGCACAAGTTAACCTCAGCTCAGCCAGAAATCACAGATTGGACGTTTCTTGCTGCAAGACTATTGAATGAAATGGGGAATACACAAGAAGCAATAGAAGTTCTGTTGCCTATTTTGCTGGAGGGTGATCTGCCTTCTGTCTTGCCAATGTTTGAGATTTCATTGTTGGTGGACTTGTCTGCACTCAAGAAACATGTAAAGTGGTTAGATGAAAAAATCAGGGAGTCATCAGAAGGTGTGGTTGATCAGGAGAAGCAGGGGAAATCCAGTGCAAAGACTAAGACTTTCAGCATACAAACATAACTCAGCAACTTACAAACAAATCCAAAGTAAAAAAAAATGTTACCTTTAAACCTTGACCGAAAGCTTGATGTATTCCAGAAGACGAAATCTTTGCTTCTTCGTCTCTCCCGCAGATGCGCTTCCTGATTTTTTGCCTTGCTTCAACGAATCCAAAACCTTCTTGCTGCCCAAAGTTTCCTGAACCAACACCTCTAAAACTCACTGCTTTTCTCTTAATCCGCCGTAAATCTTCCTCACTCTTTTATCACTCTTTCTCAGTCGCTGTTTTTCTGCTTTCTTCAGCCGCACACTCTCTGTCTTTTCCCTTCTAGCTTTCTCTCTTTGTTTTTCTAAGTTTCGGCTGTCACCTCTCTCTCGTATGTCCTCCACCCAGAATTTTCTCTAGCCTTCAACCTTCTTAAACCCCAGCCGTTAGTCCTTTCCCCCAAAACTCTATCTTTTCGCTGCCTTTCCTTTTTCTTCTTTTGGTTTAGCCAGAAACCCTCGCTCCCCCAAAAAATCCCCTTGCGGCTGCCATCTTCTTTTTTTATATATATTGGAACCTCCAACCCTAAAACACTCAGCACTCTCTTCAAATATTGCAGCCCAAGGGGCTCACCGAGGCCCTCTCTTGCAAGCTGCAAAAACGCAGCTTGCAAGTCGCGTTTCTCTCTTTTTTTTTTTCTTTTTTCTTTTTTTTTTTTTTTTTTTTTTTTAACTTTCCACTTAATAAATACAGAAATGATAAAATATAAATAATAATAATAATAACAAAAACAACTTAAATAACACTGGATACAAATAAAAATAAATAAACAAAAATGCAACTTCCTATTTTCCTTTTTCATTTTTCTCATTTTTCACTTTTTCTTTTCTTTTCTAAATGAACCAAACAAAAACAAAAATAAAAAATAAAAATAAAAAATAAATTAAGTAGAAATGACTAAAATAGATAAATAAAGCCAAATAAAACAAAAACTCTATTTTTCTTTTTTTCATGATTTTCTCTTAATTCTATGCTAAAATGGCTAAAATAACTAAAACTAAAAGTGAATAAAACTAATTGTGACAAATAAAAATAGAACAAACAAAAAAATGAATAGTAAATAACAAAACACCAAAAATTTGGTGTCTACAGTTTGCCCCTCTTTGTCCGAGTTTTGAAAAAACTTGAGACAAAGAAGTAGACACCAAATACTTACCTGGGTCATTCGGCTTCAGCTACTCGAACGACTGCTGTTATTGACATGAGGACTGACTCCTTTTAATGAGACTGACTCGGACGAGAAATTTAAAACGAGATAGACCCGAACTGGAAGTTTAAAACGGGACAGACTCGGACAGAAATGTAAAATTGGGATAGCCCCACGGGATAGACCCGAACAGGAATTTAAATTTGGGGATAGACCCGAACAGAAATTTAAAATTTGGGATAGACCCACGGGATAGACCCGGACAGAATATAACATTGGGATTGACTAGAGATAGGAAATTCAAATGGGATTGTATGAAGAAAACTGTATAAGACTTTATTTGAGAACGTATCTACAGATTTGCCCAGTAATGAATTGGTCAGTGGGATTAAACCCGAACCTGCCATGATGATCGACCAGTGGGATAATACCCGATCCTGCCAAGGTTGGCGGGATGAAACCCGTCCCAACGAAAAAAGCGGTCAGCGGGATTATACCCGGTCCTGATTTGATAAAAAGCGGTCAGCGGGATTATACCCGGTCCTGCCGAGATTGGCGGGATGAAACCCGATCCCAATTTGATAAAAAGCGGTCAGCGGAATTATACCCGGTCCTGCCGTGATTGGCGGGATGAAACCCGGTCCCAATTTGATAAAAAGCGGTCAGCGGGATTATACCCGGTCCTGCCGAGATTGGCGGGATAAAACCCGGTCCCAATTTGATAACAACGGTCAGCGGGATTATACCCAGTCCTGCCGAGATTGGCGGGATAAAACCCGTCCCAATTTGATAAAAAGCGTCAGCGGGATTAAACCCAGTCCTGCGAGATTGGCGGGATAAAACCCGGTCCCAACGTGATAAAGTGATGTTGACGCACCAAGTCCAGGCCCAACGTGATGTTTGGGAAGTTGGCGGCACAAAATCCAGGCCCAACGGGATGTTTGAGATGTTGGCGGCATTAAATCCAGGCCCAACTTGATCTTTGAAATGTTGGCGGCATGAAATCCAGGCCCAACGTGATCTTTGGAATGTTGTCGGCACGAAATCCAGGCCCAACGTGACATTGTGAATGGTCAGTGGGATAAGACCCAATCCTGCCATCCAATTGGTCAAGAAATTGGATTTGATTTGTCAAGATCAAGAAATTTGATTTTCCAAGTAACAAAAATTTGAATTTTGATTTTTGATTTTTGACTTTTGAATTTTCTGATTTTTCGAGAGAATTTTTTTTCAAAAATAATTTGCCCCAGTGTAGGGCCTTCTCTTTCCCTTCTTTCTTCTCTTTCTTCGGCATCGCCCTTCCACAACTCAGAAGCTCTTTCGTCGATTTCGACTATGAATACCTGCACAAGGGGGCTTACATGCACTTCAAATTTTCATGAAAAGGGCAGCGTGATTGACTTGAAAAATACATTATTTGATTCTTGGACGAAATCCTCAATTGGTTACACAAATATTTGCCCCTGTGTGGGCTTATTTTGTGAAATCTCATAAACAAAAATTTGCCCCAGTATGGGCCCACTTGACTTCAAAAATTTTGCTTGGATGACGCTCCATTTGTTTGAACAAAGTATGCATAACATGTGAAGAAAATTGAAATGTCTTGCTTAAACTCATATAGCAAAATTCATGATGAATATTTCCAAGATAACACCAAATTCAAGAAGATTTCTTCCTCACTTTTAGCATCGGTGCTTTGGGTAGTGGGTGACCCTTTCCAGTTGGCTCGTCTCTCAGGACCAATCAAGTGACTTTATTTTTTTTGAAATGGCTAAGGAAATGGGAGATAAGAATCTGTCTCATTTTTGTGCCCCAGTTGTATGTAATCCATTCAATGTCACATCTTAGTGAAAGCAAAGAGTTTGTTACCCTTATTTTCAAGAAAACTTAGTCAACATACAAGCTTTCTAGGCTTGTAACGTATGGACAGAAGTGATAGCTAAACATGTGGAAACGGGTTATGCCCCTATGATCACAAATGATTTGATGAATTTCTTATGAGCATGATCCTCACTTTGGATTGTCATGAAAGAATAAGTCAACGATGGACTTTATTAGCTTGTAATTTGGCTTGAAAACGATAGTTTAAGACTTTCAAGGATATTGCACCATAGATCGCATTTTTTCCAAAATTGCCCCTATTTTGAAATCAAAAGATCTCAGACTTTGTTTGCATTTTTCTCATCACTCACCAGAGACTTCAGCGTCGAATTTTCTGCATTTTCTTGCATTTACTTTTCTTTCTTTGCTTTTTGCCTCTTTTCCCTTTCCCTCGAGCTGATGGGTTTTCACATGGTGAGTAGCGTCAAACTCATACTCAAGCAATTCAGAAATACAGCTAAAATTTTCCGGCATCAGAAATTTTCTTGACAGGGCCATTGCAAAGAACAGAAGTCAAGACTTTCGGCTTTTGTAACGGGGTCAGGTGGGGTGCTTAGAAAAGTTAAGACTTGAAAACGGATTTCAACACTGGTTTGAAGAATCTGAGATCGCATTGTTGCGTCAACCCTATTTTAGGGTAAAATCAGAATTTGCCCCAATTTTTGCTCAATTGAGGCTTTTTCTCTTTCATTTTCTTTCCCCTTTTGATTTTTCGGCCTTTTGCCGTTCTTTCGAACTTTCACAAAATTTGCCCAAGTTTATTTTTGAACTGAGGTTCTCTTTTCTTCCTTTGTTTTTGATCTTGTTGCTTTTCACTTTTCACTTCTTGAAATTTTCTTTTCAACTCAAACTCGCCCCCAGTGTGGGGTTTGCGATTCTCAGGGGTTGCCAAACGACATAATTTATTCTGATGGCTCAAAAGGGATAACTAGGGATAAAATGTTCGATTGGAAAAGAAGATGGCCTGACTTGTATTCCGTTCCTTACAATAACTCTGAAAGGAAATTTTCGCTAACGCGAAATTTTTGGCATGTACCTGAATTAACTGACTGAGGAAGACCCTTGTCCATCCATATTTGTGAAACATTGACGATCCACGCGGACACATCTCTTCCCTTTTTTGAATTAGAACCCAAGTGGAATCGATTTTCCTCAATTTGCAGTTCCCTCTTTTTCTATCATTTTTGCTTTTCTCTTTTTTTTTAAAATTTTCCAATCTCCTTCCCCAATGTGGGGTGCGATCATATGTGCACTCGAAAAGAACCACCAATTTTTAGCTCAAATGAGGATGCAAGGGATGATCAGTGTTTAGATTGTAGAAATGACGGCCAAAGTATCATTCTTATACCTCATGACAACCGAAGTAGAGAAATGGTCATTGAAAATCCATTCTTCTTTTGATATTTGAAAATTTTTCAATGATGGGTAGTGATTATTAAGACCCTTATTTGAAACGAAATTATTCTTTTAGAGGCTCAAATGGGAGAGCAAATGACAAAAATGTATAGGTAATGAAACGAATGCTTGAAGTATCATTCCAAATTTCCAAACAAATAAGAACAATGCACATTTTTGCTTTCACTTAGATGTGATTGAACCAGATTGGACACCTTGAACATTTTCAAGCAAAAGTTGCCCCAATTTACAATTTATCAATCAATGTGACTGATTTTATTTTGGAATTAAGTGAAGGAGAAAGGTATCTCATAGGGCCTTTTGAGTGACCGTTCACTCTCTTTCTTTCTGAGCACTCTTATTGTACAGGTTGGAACACCAATCGAGTGCATGAAGATTTTAGAGAGTATACACTTGTGAATCCTCAGATTGAGGTTGGAAAAAATCTCAATTTGGTTTTATTCTCAAAATTCATCATGAACTCTCCAATGAGTGAGAATAAAGAATGAAATGTACATGAATACACAAAACAATAATTATCCAAAAATTTTA